ATTTTATTCCAGAGCTCGGATCATCCGAGATCTTCATTAAAGTTTCACCGAGCCGGGAATCTCCCCTCGTGGTCGCCGGCCTCGACGACGAGACCGAGCAACGGGGAACGACGTCTCCTTCCTCGTTTCCGGCGAAGTCGACTCTTCCGAGTTCGAGTCGAGGAAGCCTCTCGTATCGCCTAAGGCGCTTAGAAATTTAGTCGACGTCGATAAAATAAAATTCATCTATACTCTTTTTGGCGGTAACGCCACTTGGGTGCTCAAGTGGTAACGTAAGATGGTGCGTCACGTTTCCGACATTTATTATTTACGCCGAAATCTCTTACGCTCTACGTTGGGAGTTAAACGAGACGAAGCGTTCCATATGTCATTTCGGTAAAGTAACGATAAAGAAATCGAAATCCCGTGAATTTTGGACTTTTTATATGCTAACGGACCGACGGCATCGTCCGTGACGTTTAGCTGCAACTAAATTTTTCCTCTAAAAATATGCGTTACCCCCGGGCAAGTCAGCATTCTCTTGCAATCGTTGGTGAAAGTATTTTCCATATTTTCCCATTTGACTCTGTAATATTCCGTTTCTGTGGTATTCTAAATTGTTCGAGTTAGGTCCTGAAATTCTTTATTTTTTATCGTAAGCCTACAAGAAGCGTAAAACATCGAAAAAGTGCACGGACAGTGCCGTGTTTGTTCTAGACCGTGATAAATAAATTTTGTACGAAGAATGAAGTTTTCTGAGTTTTAAGACCTGCCTTCGGGTCTGCACATTCACGTCGAAAAATTTCAAACGAATCGGTACATCCATTTCGGAGAATACTTTCGCGAACAATTTGACCTCTCAAATATATATATATATATATAGGCTGACTATTTCATATCATCTTAAGGCGACGTGAAAGTGACGATAGAAGTCTCGTTTATGAAATTTTACTCTAAACTGGGTGTATCGATTTATTTCAAAGTTTACAATATGAACATGGAGGCTGCAAGGAAGGTCCTGACACCCATGAAATTTGAATCGTTTAAAAATTTGTTTATAGGTATTTTAATAATTTTGTTATTAAAAATGAAATTTCATAAGGGTCAGGACCTTCATTGTAATCTGCATATTCACGTTGTAGAGTTTGAAACGATTCGGTACACTCAGTTCGGAAAAAAGTTTCACGAACGATCGAACCCTCGGATGCCACTTTCCCGTTCCCATAATATCGGTATTTAGTTACCATTTGAATTTGTGGAAAATTGTGCGATTCCTGTTGCCTAAAGGTGAAACATCCGGAGAGGGCGTTCTTTGCACGCGTCCTCTTGGTTTTGCGCCAACTTCGTTTCGTACGATTGGGTCGAACGAGGGAAGATTGGAAAACGTAAGTGATTGCGAGCACGGCGTCCCTCGGCGGGACAATGGGAATGCTCCATTTAGTGGATGCCATCCAACAGGAATGCAGGATTCGCCAGCGGTGACCGCGGCCGAAACCCACACGGGACATTCCCACGTCGAGTCTACTCGTAGCGAGCCGTGACCATCGACAAGGATATATCCAGGATATATCCAGGATATATCCAGGATATATGGAGGCCACGAAGGCAGCAGGACCCAGAGAGAGAGAGAGAGAGCCCTTGCTCTTCCTTTTTTCAAGCGTGACAAGAGACGAAGGCAGTCTATCCGAAAGCATGAAAAAAATAGCTCCCCTGTTCTCTGCCATTGTCAGGAGCCCGATTATCGAGTTCATACGAATTTTTTTCGCACGCGAATAGATTGGCCTGAGAAATTTGGCATTGTTGCGAAGGCGCGTCCATTGGTCAACATTTGAAAGTCGTATTTGAAACTATCAATATCGCCCGCGAAATTTTATAATATTTTTGTTCGAAGTTTCATTCTGTCATGGCACACTAAACTTATAACATATTTGCAAGAAATTTATAAAATGTGTCGAATTTAGTACATACGTGTACTAATTTTCTCTCGCAATTTCACAAAGTTTAAACAGGATGTCATCAAATTATAAGTTTATTTAGAAATTTGTAATAGACGTCTACTAATTCACTTTTAGGACACTGAACGTACAATTCTCCTACAACCTTAAGTACCAAAAGTACATGAATTTGATGAATATTTCTAACAGGGTGAAGAAGATTTCGGAACACGGCGTTGTATTTCCTTGTACCATTTCGTGGTCCATATATTTTACGTCCGGGCATTTCCGTCTCTACCCTCGTCCTCGAGAAATGGCCCAGCTTCGCAGGATTTTCAATCGGACGTCTCCTAAAAATTCAGGGGAAATTCGTTTCGTTGTATCCTCCCCTTAAAAGCTCCATACGTCTCGGGAGAAAAATTCGGGCGAGGGAAACGGATCGATCGGATTTATCTCTTCCGTCCGACCGACAAATCGAGAGCAATATGGCGAGCGAACGGATTTAACCTGAAAATTCACCAAGGACTGTAAAGGGGATTCGCCCTTCCTGGGAGACGTAGGATGCCGCGGACTCCCCTTCGACAGGATATTCGGTCACGCATTCTCGAGGAGACCGAGAGGGATTTACTCCGCCATCCTTTATCCGAGGAGCTTCGCATTTTTCAAGAGGGGGAGAGTCATTTTTTTTTCATTTTCGTGAAATATGAAAATACGCGCATGTGTTCGCTGCCGCTCGTGTACTTTGTCCCGGTGTCTCTTAACTCTTTGGAATTAGGTGGGTTAAAACTGTCCCACCTTTTGCTTAGATTTTTAAAGGTGGGACCCTCTTGATACCACCGTGCCTCAACGGGTTAAGGGGATGTGAAAATGGCAGCCGAGGAGCCAATCGTTCGTGAAACTTTTCTCCGAACTGGGTGTACCGAATCGTTTCAAGCTTTATAATATGAACATGGAGACTATAAGGAAGGTCCTGACCCTCGTGAAATTTCAGTTTTTATACAAAATTTGGAAAGTATCTATAAAGAAATGGTTAAAAAATTGAATTTTCATGAGGGTCAGGACCTTCCTTACAGCTTTCGTGTTCATATGTTCAAGTTTGAAACGATTCGGTACACCCAGTCCGATGAAAAGTTTCATAAACGAGACCTCTTTGACGTCCCTTTTACATCACCTTAACTGTACAATATGGCTGCTTCCTTTCCATTTATTTATCGGTTTATTTCCTTCACCTGGTCGTTGGTCGTGAAATTTGTAAACTGTATTTAGTGTCAGCGCTTAAGGGCGCTTATTTGACGTAAAATCCAAGTAAAATACCTAATAAATTGACCGACAAAGTTGGCGAGACTCTAACCTCACTTTTTCATAGTGGTCAAAGTATACATCGCTTGCGAATAAACATTTTAGTCAAAAGAAAAGAAAGGAATGAAGAGCAATGGCAAGTAGGAGCAAGCGTTCAAAATATTTAGGCTTCGACGTTCCAGGTTTCCATAAATTCCATGGAAAATTTGGAATTTTAAGCGTATCGGGAATGGGAACTGCGGAAACACGAAGTCCCATATTCGTATAACTTACGTATGAAATTTGTAAAGTCAAATGCCTAGTCCAATTCCCTACAGAAAACTGCGTAAATTATCTAGGACATTTTATTTAGCCAACCCCGTGGCAGCTTTGGGAAATAAAAAAGATACAAAAGCCGAGAATCCGGGGATTCATCCCTCGTCGAAGCATCCCTTGCCTCGCTCGATCACCGATGTGGCGAAATAACGAGATTCCCGAGTGACGTCGGGTCTCGCGATCAAAAACTCTCGACCCTCGTCAGTCGATTAATTGGCGGGTGCCTCTCGGGCAACGTTCTCGCTAAATGGATCTCTTCTTCCCCTGCTCTCCTTTTTCCCTTTGCTCACTCTTTCTCAAAGATATTGCGCGCAGTCGACGTTTGAAGGAGAGCTCCCATTTTCTCCTCTCTCCGGCCACCGTGAAATTGCGAGCGCTCTCCGTTCCAAGGAAAAAACCCTGAAAATGCGGCTTCTATTAGCCTGTTACGAGTCCTTTTTGAATACGGGGTGTCCTAGAAAGGATCCGCCACGCGATCCTCTTCGTTTTCTTTTTTTAGGGGAAAATGCTTTCGTCATTTTATACAAACTAAATCGTATATATTTTTGCAAGTTTTCCCTGCAATTTCGATTCTTTCTTTAGAAATATGCAGCAAGTGCCGATATTTTTTGCTCGCAATTATTAAGGAAATTTTTTATGTAAAATGTTTTTATACGTTAAGAAATAAAATGTGTGTCGGTACTTCCTACATATCTTGATAGGTCAATAAATGTTTCATGGGTTTGAAGAATATCATGTTTCCCGAAGAAAAAGATTTTCGTTCTTCGTCTCGGTTTACGTTTGGCGTCTTCTTCGCGCTCGGCGAATTTTTTGCGCTTTCCTCCACTTTGCAGTCGCCGGTACTTCGCCGATAATATTTTCCGGAAGGGTTCTTTCCCCGGTGGAGTTTCTGCCTCCGTTATACGAGGCTTCCTAAAAATATCCTCGACGGAAGTTTGCTTAACTTTCGAAACTCTCTTGATGAACCATTCGACGCTTTCCATTCTATAAACGATCCTCTATGAAGAGGATCCTGAACATCTTCGCTGAATTTATGTCCGCCATTCGACAATATACATGCAACAACGTATTATTACAATTTAATACCTCGCGAAAGGATCCACCGTCCCGTTGCGTCGACCTTGTTATCCTCTTTAGTGCGCCTTAAGGCGTTACGAAAGGGTCATTCTATATCAAAACGTCAAAACATAAAATTTTTCTCCAAATTGGATGCACCTAATGATTTGAATCTTCAGTACGTGGCTATGCACGTTCTAAGGAAGAACGCGATGCTCGTGAAATTTCATTCAAAAGTAAAATTCTTTTATTTATCTTTATTTATCTCTATTTCTTTCAGACTAAAACCAAAGACACTTTTTTGGAGTAATGAAATTTCATGATCGCCACGTTCTTTCTTAAAATCTCAATAATCGCGCGCTGATAAAAATCGATGGTAATTGAAATAATTGACAATTTAATTTCTTTCGGTTTCAGGGGCTTTGGAAAACAGGGATACCAATGCCAAGGTGAGTGTCACGGATCCTCGAGGTCGGCAACCCTCCTCGAGAGGGAAATCTCGATCGGCCACGTTTGCATTCGATCGATGCTCGCCCGACCGGCAAGCCTTTTAAGTTCAATAAGTACCCAATTACTACATTCGCGTCGTTCGTCGTCCTTCTCCGAGCACTTCGGATGTATGAAGTCCACGAACCCAACCGTTCGGTTTGTATTCCGGCGAAGGCAACGGATCCGAAAGAGACGTTCTTTCCCTCCCTCTCTTTTTGCCGTTAGATTGGCCACTACCCATAAATATGCGGGATGAAAATTATAATAATCTAAGTATTATAAACCTAACCAGTTTTGCTGGCGGACAAAACTACCCACAAATATTCCGCGTACGAAACAAGAATTTAATGATTCGGAGTACCATTTACATCTTCGCGTTTGTCGTCATTTTGAAAGAGACAATAGGGTATCTACTTGAAATGACAATTGTATCGTCTTAAAACGTTAAAACGGAAACGAAAATGTCCGTATTCATCCTTTTTTGAGCAATCTCGTTTGAACGTCTTTTGTGCTTCTCGGAACAATTTCCTTATTCCCGACGGAGTCGGCATTCCGCCTTCCGGAGATCCCAAAATATCCGGCTACGAAGTATCGTAAAAGAAACCTGTTTACATGATCTCTTTTCTTCCATGGACTCCCGGCGAGCCTGGCGCATTCTTTTCCGTTCCTCCGAGATATTAATTCCTTCGTAAATAACCTCTTTCAAACTTCCCGATCCGTCGCGGTTTATATCTTCTCGATGCACCTCTTTGACTCCCTGGCGGAATGAAAAGAAATGTTCTTCGTTTATCGTGACGCCACCGCGAAGCAATTAATAAACGGACAATATTGAGACGCTAAAAAGGCGACAAAATAAACACCATGGATGTTTTTAATCGGTCATCCAAACTCCAAACATGACACGTTGGATATCCGTCGTTTTTCTTTGCAGCGTTCGGACGAAGGCAAGAATAAAAACTCTTACAATTTTTTCGGTAGAAATGAAAAATGAGGTGAAAAAATGATCGCTCTTCGCCACCGAAAGTTTATCGCAGACTTGTACATTTTAACCATTCCGAATTAAAAGGTCACCTAACCCCCAAAATCTTAGCTAGAAACGAATTTTATGTACTATATATGTACTGGTGATGATATTTCTTGATACGTTAGATTTTTAACGGAGCTTAGCGTAATTAAAGCGACGAAACCTTATACCTCAACCAAATAGGAACGGTAAATCTACCGAAAACAAAGGAGTTGTTTTTTTTTTCAATGCCATATCCTGCACGTTTCCTTTATCATGACGCGAAGCAACGCGGAATGCACGAGACAGCCGATCCATGCCTCGTCGCATGTTGCCTCCGTTCGGTATCGAAATCAGCTTGGAATTTACAAAACGGAGGCTTTATCGTTAGCGGTACTTGTTGCACTTAAATATTTGCGATCGAAAGAGACAAAGGAACGTCCCTGACGTCGATCCTCCTTTGACGTGTTGCAGTGTGCAGCTTCGTCGTCCACAAGAGATGTCACGAATACGTCACATTCACGTGTCCTGGAGCTGACAAGGGCGCCGATTCCGACGTGAGTTTTGCGTTTCTATTTTGTCCTCCGACAACTTCCTGGTCTTCGACCCTTCGTTCCCGCTCCCATGTTCATTTTTTTACTTATGGAGAAATGGGGGGCACTCAAACTCAACGTCAGTCCTGAAACGAAGTTCTCGACATGGATCTAGGCATGGAAATCAGAATTTAGACACGGAGCCGAAGTTCGAGACGCGAGCCATTTTTCTTTATCGATTAAGGGGATGTGAGAGGTCAATCGCTCGTGAAACTTTTCTACAAACTGGGTGTACCGGGTGTACCGAATCGTTGCAAACTTTACAACATTGATGTGGAGGCCCTAAGGTAGGTCCTGAAACTCATAAAATTTCACTTTTTACAAAAAATGTTGAAAACATCTGTAAACAAATTTTGTAAAAATTGAAATTTGATGGATGCCAGAACCTTCCTTATAGTTCCTTTATTCCCGTGGTAAAGTTTGAAACAATGCGATACACGCAGCTCGGAGAAAAGTGTCACGAACGATTGACCCCTCGCATCCTCTTAATCGCGATCTAGCATGGCAAGAAATATAGAGACCGTGAAATCGTGTTGTACGTTGCTTTTAAGAATACAGACGTTAAAACGCGGGACGGTAACGGTTACCGGGTACTTTAGATTTCTTTTATATCCGTTTAAAAGACGCCAGAACGCTTGTAAAGAAATATGGCCGCCCCCGCCCCCGTTCTTTTCCCCTTCGTCTCGAGCTTCGCTCCCCGAAATCCCTTTCTTCTTAAATCCATGCCTTTCGCATTAACCCTTTGCGATCCGAATTTCCGCGATCGCCTCATAAACGTTGAGTCGAACTCGAGACGGAACCGCAGAGGGTTGAGAATCCGGGAACGAGTCGGCCATGTTGGATTTTGGCGACGGAGGAAATAGCACTAAGTTTCCGGCGACTATTCCTCGAAGCGAACGATACTTGTCGAGGAAAATCAGGGCAAGAAGGTCCGAGGTATTCGCGTCATTTTAAAACGAATCGTGCACTAGGAAACGAGACGTCGTGCTTCGAAAATCGATCCGTCGGGCCCAATGACGGAATTAGGATTTCAAGGCAATGATCCTACAATTAACGCGATGTTATCGCAAGCACGGACAGGCTGACATATTTTACCCGCCTCGACGAAAACGTGAAAGGTGTAACCAAATACCCTGGGGGAATTTCGCACGGTTTTCTCGCCTCTGGCGACACGATTCAATGTGGCCGACTTGGTTTTATCAGGTCCTTGATTCAGGACAGGGTAACTACACGCGTAGGGACAAAATGAAAGTTAACAAAGGGACTGTGGGAAGAGGACCCAAGCGTGACATGCTTATGCGAACTTTTAAACGACACGTGAAACAAAGGTAACTGAATTTATTAAAAAAAAAAAAAAAAAAGAAATAGGTCACGATTTTACACGACTCCTGTTTCCATCCGAGCCAGATTTCGACTAAGTTTTTGCGACGAACGACTAAACAACGATGGACTGTAACGATACTGTAACGAGGGGAACGACCGAAGCGATTTACACGACAGTTTCAAAACGACCGACTCCTTCCCTAGGTATCGCCGCCTTTATAGGCACACGCGATAAAGGCGAAAACGTCGTATATGAATCATTTTTTCCCGGGAAAGGAAACGACGCACGGCGATCCGAACCGATCGCGACTCATTAAAGGCGTGTAGAGCAACAAGGCATTTCAAAGTATAAGGAAATAAGATACGCCCTACGAGACGTTTAAAAAATGTCCAAACGTACATCCTCATGCCTCCAGCAGTTAGGGATGAGTCGCGCTGAAATTCAGAACTACAATCCCGATGGGGCTTTTGTATTCTCTCGTCGAGAAGCCAGCTTATCCCCGCATTACCGTGAAGTCCGTTTTGTTCGGTGCATTGTATTCAAATGCAAATCCTACCCTGTTAAAAAAAAGTACTGTCATTTTATAACACTCGTTGAACGTTTTATTCAAACGTGGTACTCTAATTTTATCATTTGTTTTCAAATAAAGTTTCTAACGTATGTTACAGATCTGATTATATTAATTTTTTAGATTTATTTTAATTATTATATACTTTACTAGAAATATTCGTGAAACTCGTACACTTAGTGCATAAAGTTGTAGTAAAATTTTCAATTTTAATGCAAACCATTTTATTTCGGGAATCACGATCTGCCGGTTTGTTCGTTCGGTCTACATCGGATCGCTATACCCCGATAAGAATCGACAGAAATTTACATACATTTTTACATACCTTATAAATGAAGGTTTACATAGAAAAACGTATAATGGAAAAATAACAAATTAGAAAAAGTATAAATATACAAAGCATTGCACATTTATCGTTTAAGTGCATTTTTACTTGAATCAGATTAATATTAGATTCTAATTTTCTATACTTAACTTACATGCTGAATTTGATATTACAAAGAAATTGTAATTTTACTGCAATTTATTGTGGCACCGAAATAACCGCAGCTTGAGTATGTAAATTTACGTTTTTATCATTGTACAATCTAGATTTTTGTCAAAATTATGTACAATTTAGAAAATTGTAATAATTTGCAATAGTTTCGATCAAGCGGGTCTTTCCGCGAGCAAATTTTGTCCTCGCAACCCGCTGGAGGCCATCGTTCGATCCTGACAGACCACTTGAAAACTCATTAACTAAGACCTATTACGCGGTATAGACGGATACCCACTCGGCATGGACGGTTTAATTACATCAATGCGAACTGTGCCATCGGCATATAGTTCGTATCCGGTCTGGATCCGGCTAGTGTTAAATCCAATCCAAAATCGTGGGACAAATCGATCCGTAAAGACTTTTAGCGATTTCCTTAACGTGATATTCGCTATTTTTCGACAAAACTTGTCATGGTTGAACAATTCATTTATAAGTTCGTCGAGGAAACTTTCTAAACGGATTTGTTACATATTTTATATGGACGAATAGAAACGGTTCGGTTAACTGACTGAACACGTAACGAGGACCATCATACAAGCACTTGGTTTTAACATGAACATGTCTTATCGCTGGGAGTCGGTCAAAAATGTGCGTCACGTCGTTTTCAAACGCGTTCTTTGTCACCATGATTTTCTGATACCCTTACGAATGCGTTGCTATGATTTTTCAACTTTGTTACTTTCTATCCGATTTGGCTGATTCTTTTTGCAACGCGTATAGTTGTTTTTTTTTTAACGCTCTAACATCGCTTGCATCGCTGCCGCTGCTCCGGGAAGGCAATAGTTCCATGTTATTATTCACAAGATTTTGTGTCCCATTGATTTCTCTTTGTCCACCGTTGTAGGATGTAACTAGTAACTAGCTAACTACCTAGTCAGTGACACGTATCGTGTCGCGTTCCTAAATGTATCGCGATGATTAATTTAATTACTCCATTTAATTACTATGAAAGGGAACTCGTCCCTGTTTTTACCCCTCTTTGACGTTTCGTTCTCCGTTCTCGGGATCGTTTCAGCCTCCGTAGACGATATCGTTGCAGCCCCAATTTTCTGTACCGTGCATTGTGAATCGTGCGGGCTAAAAGCTTCATAAGACATGTTCATGACCTCGTGCCTTCTCCACGAGGTAAAGAAGGTACGAGTTTTGATTCCAACTCGACGGATCTGTCCGAGATCTTCTCTCACGACCGGTCTTATCAAAATTAAGCCGTATCGAGTTCGCCACAATCGGATCGGTCCCTGTAGACTCTTTAATCGGGGAAACGAGGCTTTCGATCCGTCCAAGCTGGAGCAATCCGATGGTCAAACTCGAAGGCTACTTTGGCTCCCACCGGATTATTCCAGCGAAATATTTGACATGGATCGATCGGACGACACGCAAACTCGAAAGGGTTTACCCGGGGTGAACGACCCCGAACGATTCCGACGGATCGAAGTCGATTAATTGGCGATTATCGCCGATGCCCCGGCGTCTCCGGAGCGTCTCCGGAGCGTCTCCGGAGCGTCTCCGGAGCGTCTCCGGGGCGACTCCGTTTTCATTTGCGAATATCGCCTCGAATAATCCCCTAAATGAGCGCGGCCGTGGGCGGTGCCGGAAGACGGTCGACCTTGGATGGCCATCGTTTTCTGGACCGACCTCGAAGAGCTCTCCTTCTTGCAATCCAATCTCGGATGGTCCTTTTTTCCGGGCCGACCTTGGACTCTCCTCTTTCAGGTCGACCTCACAGGGCGGGGAGAAAAGTTCCCGTGCGAGCTTGAAAACGTTTGGAGACGAACCTGTATACGAAGACTTTTCCCCCATCCCGAGCATACATACAGGTATGTACCCCGTCCCTCAATTTACGCGCAGTATCCGTTCCACGTGGATTCGTTTTCCGCGAAAGAAAATCGCGTAGAGTCTGTCGGGACAAAAGAAAAATTAGTAGAAGTAGAAGCTAGGATGTATCAGCTTTTGAGGTACATATTAAAAAAAAAGGACGTTTCTAAAACAAAAGTAAATTTAATTCGATGTCGCCATCGCTACTGTAATTCAAAACGTTCAGTCTTTTCTATTTAATTGGCACAAACGTATCGCCTGAAATATTTGGCAGTTCGACATCATTTTCATCGTTAACGTTAATATATTTTCTGGTCGCGTAAATTAAGATCGCGCATAAAAACTACCACGTAAATTGAGGAAGGGGTGGATACATATTTAAAGGTAACATATTCATATTATTTGTATACAGGGCGGGGAAAAAGTTTTCGCCCAAAGTTTCATTCCGAAACGTTTGCAGGATTGTACGGAAATGCCTCCTCTCCTTTTCCGGTCGATCTCGAAGAAGCCTTTTAAAAAGTCGAGCCGACCTTGGATGGTCCTCCTCTTCCGGCTTCCGGTCCGACCTCGAGTCTCGATCGCGTCGTCCTCGGTCTCGTATGTAACGGTGACCTAACGCAGGACACTCGGACGAAGCATCAGTTCAAGCAACATACCTACAACAGCCCTACCTTCTGTGACCACTGCGGTAGCCTTCTCTATGGTGTCATCCACCAGGG